TGAGGGGCTTGCGGCGGCGGCGGGGTGCGCGCGGCCTGGAGCTAGGGGCTCAGAGCGGCTGCGCGGAGGGGCGCGGGACTGCGGGGCGGCGCTGGCTGCCCGGCTCGGAGGCGCGGGATCGCGGGAGATCCACCTGCTGGTAACGGCGCCGCTTGCGCCGCGGCCCGGCCGGGAGCTCGCGCGGCGCGGGCTGCTGCGGGGCTGGTTGGGGCGCGGGCTGGGCCGCGGGGCGCGGGCTGGCCGCCCTGGCCGCTCCATCAGCCCCCACCGCTGCGGCCCCTTGGAGTGGCGCGCTCTCCGGTGGCGGGCCGGGCGCCTGGTGCGTGCAGCGGGGTTCGTCGACTTTGGGGCAAAGTGAGGGGAAGAGTGGGTTTGGGGGTGCGGAGAGGGAGGGAGAGTTGCTCGGGGGCGGGACCGGGATGCCAGAGGGCCAGCGCCCGGCGCCTCCACGGGGCAGGTGAGCTGGGGGCCAGATGGCCCCGGGCCCGGAGGCGAGGGCTGCTCCCGCCGGGGCAGAGCAGGCTTGCATCCGTGGTAGCCAATTTTCCTTACGAAGTGAGGACCTGGGGGTGGTCCGGTGTGAAAGAGCAGCCCATCCCCCCCCAGGCATCGGCCCCCCTTCAGGAGGAAGCTGCACGTGGGACTCTTAGGTTGGGTGCAGGTGATTCCATTGAGTATACCAGGTGGTGTCTCGCAGGCGTGTTTTATGAGCTGGCGGTCACACCACTCGCGCGCCCGCTTTTATTTCTCGCAGCGTGTGTTTCTCTGGAGCCCGTTAATTGCTTACAATCCGATCTGCGAAATAGGAGCAGGCACAGTGTCTGTGTTGAATGCTTGCCATATATTCTGCTGTTGTGCTTTTGTTGAGGGACGAGTTCTGATCAAAGATAATGACAACGTGTTCGTTTGAATTTAGCAGCTAACTTTAGAAACCTAAGCGTTTTTGTGGTTTACCCTTCCTTTTCTTAATGTTTTAAAAAATAGTTTTACTAATGGGTTAGCGTGGCATTAGTTTCTTTAGCTCACAGGTGTAAACCCCAAAACGCACTGGACGATGAAATTATGAAAGCTGTAGTAAATAAAAATATTAATCCTTTTATAAATGTAACATAAATGAGCTTTAACATAATTGCAGTGTATGAAGTTACATAGTTTATGTTTGTATTTCATGGTTGTGTCTTTCTTCAGGCACCTCTGTCCTGTCTGTGGGATGGTAATTAAGGAATTGGCCAAGTGTTCAGAAGTATTCTCAGCCGTGGAACATATTGAATATTTCAGAGAACACTTTAAAATAATTTATTATTTAACAGTAAAACACAGGACTGCGGTCCTTGAAGATCTGTTTATAAAATAGATTTTTCTGTCTGAGATCTGTAGTTGAAGGTTCCACTCATCTTCGTCAGGATGGAGAAGATGATTAGTAATTTTAGCCACTATCTGTTTTTTGTTAAGGATTCTAATGTGTAAAGTCTCAGACTAAAATTTTTGTGAATGTGGACACTGATAAAAGTGTGGGTCGCTTGGTCTCTCACTTTAGGTCATCAGTCAATCCAAAGGGCTTGTGGTTGTCCAACCTATGAACTGCCTCTCCTGGTTTAAGAGTGTGGGGATCATTAGTTTTGCTGTTGTCTGGAGGCTTCACTTGTACTGTGCAGGAAAACTTCATTAGTTTGGAAACCCTAGTTAAAGATGTCTGACTACATCCTTACTGAGTAAAATGCGCTTTTATTTCTCTTGCAGAATTTTAGGTCATATTTGTTAGAATTCATGATCAGTATTTTCAAACCTGAGCTTAGTAACTTCCTGGATCCAGTATTTAATATTCCTATGTTTTTCACATATTAATAGTATATCTGTAGTCTACTTTGATTTTAGAGTTCATTCACTTTTAATCGTCTCGACACATTTATACTGAATTTCATATGGGCTTTATTTGTATCTAGTAAAGCTGTATTTTAAAATATCCTTTATTTTATGATTCTCTGCTTCTGTACTTCCCCATGATTATTAACTGAATGCTTACTCTAATAACCTGTATTCTCAGATTTTTTTTTTTACTAGGACAAAAAAATCCTTCCTCTGAAGTAAGGTAGGGCTAAGTATATAGCAACAAAGTTATATGCATTTTTATGTAATGTCACCCCAGGATTAAAATCCCAAGTTATATAATTCACTGAGTTATCACTTGTCTTTTTATAATCGGGTGCTTATTGGGTGCTTATTGATATAAAACAAGATATTAGGCACTTCATGGAATTAAGTTGAAATTAGAGAATGTCACCATGATTTTAAATTCTAAATCGTAAACGTGGACATATTTGATGTTAACTTGTTTTAACTAGAGAAGGTGAATAACTTTTGGTTTAGAAAACAGTGATAACTTACAAGTAAGAATATCTTTGGAGTTCCTTGTTTTCAGATAGTAAGAGTAAGCAACAAGGGCGGGTAAGAATCCAGTGCTTCTAGAATATTATACCACAGTTAGAGCTTCTGGCCAAGGAGGGTTAACAGACATGCCTGAGGGTGTATGTGGAGCAGTAGGGGGGGCCAAGCCAAAGGCTACAGGAAGTGAGAAATTTGTTTAAAGTGGTAAGTTTAAACTTTGAAATTTCCTTTGAATTTTGCAGCTTATTCTGTAATAGACCCATGTTTGTTATAGAATATAAAGGATTTTAAAATTCACCCTTAAACTGTTGGGTAAAGTTACCAACACCTTGGGAACATTTTTAAGTGTAACCTGAGACTTGGAGTATCCCTGGCGCTTGCCTTCCTAGTGCTAGGGTGCAGGTGGCCTAGTTTGAGAGGCAACGGGTGGTAGGTAAGAACTTGGACTTTGGAGTCATACACATTAGGGCTCTCTTTGGGTTCATTTCCTTGTACGTAAGATAGGATTAATAATGCCTGCCTCACAGGATATTCAAAGATTTAAAACATACAATGGATGCAGCACAGGAAACACTCAGTGAGTTGGAGTGTCTGTCATTATTATTACTAATACTGTGCCCTAGTGATCTGTCTTCACTAGTAGAGATTTCTAGAAATGTTCCGTTTTGCAAAGTAGCTGAGATGGTAGTTTCTGAATTGCCTACAAATGGCCAATTTAAGCAGCCATATTCTTCTGCTGAGGGAATTGTCCCTTGGGCTTGTGAGGCGTATTTGGAGGTGCATTAACTCACCTCACTAGAGTGTCATTTACTATATTGCCAAGTGCATCTTGTGGTCCCCTTGAGGCCGCCAGGAATCAGTGCACATCTCAGAGTGCCTGACATACTCCCAGGGAATAGACCTGCTGTGCATAGAGTGGACTGAACCAGTAGCTGGCTGCAGTTTTTTTGTTTGGTTTTATTTTTAATACACTTAACATTTATTGAGAACCTATTGTGTGGTAGGCAGCTATGCTTAGGTGCTTCTGATGACCTCATTTCATTCCATTTTCTCAACAGCTTTATTAAATGGGTGGTGATTTCCTGGATTTCCCGAGTTAAAACAATGCTAAGTGACCAGTCCTAGGTCACACAGTATTCTGGTTGGATGCTGCATTTTCTAAATGCCTAAATATTCCAGATTTACCCTCTGGAAGTAGGTTAATCTGTGGAAAAACTACATTCATTCTATGAGGATGATAAATAACAGCAATAATTGTAACCTTTTTCTGACTTATGACACGTGAAAGGGGCCAGGACAGGTTGTTTTCTTATTTTGTGGATGAACCAATAAGGCCTAGATAAGTGACATACCAAAGTCATGTAAGAAGTGATGGAGCCGGACCCAGGACCCGGGTCTTCTGACCCTTACATGTTGTGTGGTCTCTCAGTTTTCTTAAGTTTTTTAAACATTATTATTGCATAATAGGAAAACTGAGGAGGGTGAAGATTGTGTTACTCAGGAACCATTGTGTGATCATGAGAATTCTCAGTGTGGAATCTGTGGCTTATTATATGTTTAATGAGCCCCACAGCTTCCCTCTTTAAATAAGTAACCATAACGTTCTTTTCACAGACAAAAAAAGGAGGAGGGAATATATGTAGTTCGAAGCTTTTCCCCCCCCCACCCCCCCGGAGAAGAACCATATAATCCTAGTATAATAAATGACTGGTTTAGATGTGGGGATAATCTTTATAGATACATTGTAGCACCACCAAAAGTCTGTTTTTAATGGTCACTAATAAATGAAGAAACCAATATTTTGCATTAACTAAACAAGTTTTTCTTTCTGTTTCCCTCTTGGTTCAGAAGAAAGCCTGAGACATCAACCTATGAAGACTGTGAAGACAGTTCTGAATAGCAGTTGTGGCTGGTGGTGCTGTCACACTTATTCTGCAGAGCATCTGAAATGAACCTCTCTTATTGATTGTTTTTATTGGCCTGGAGCCAGGAGTACTGGATTCAGTTGACTTCGTAAATGTATGAACCAGTGTGATGGTGAAATGAGATGAGGCTCCGAAATGGAACTGTAGCCACTGTTTTAGCATTCATCACTTCGTTCCTTACTCTATCTTGGTATAGCACGTGGCAAAATGGGAAAGGTAAGGAAAATATCTCCAAAAATGTACTAAGCTTTTGGCTTTGTTAACGGTATATCAATGCTTAGGTTAAATATGTCAGCCGTCTGCATGTTGCATGCTATCTGCTGGTGGCCTGGAAGTTTCTTTCTGGCATAAAAATCAGATGGTATTCTTGGACAGAGAAGTTCTAATTTGAATGGAGTTTGTTTTGTTTTCAATTTCTTATAATTGCACTCAGGGGAACAGATAATGATCAGTGGTTTATGTTATACATGACGGCCAAATTGAATAATGAAGACTTTTGTTTTGGCATTTTATTTTTATTATTAAACATCATAAATGTTTAATAAGTATTCTTGTACTGGATGTTGTATAAAATGCTTAAAAGGACACACGGAGCCTTCATGAAATTTACATGCTGCTTATACTAATGATTTGGTGCTGGGTAGTTAATAATTTAAACTGCACATATTGACAGATTGCTCTTTAGGCAAAAGTATTTATGAAGTGGGTAAGAAGTTCTGATTAGAAAATTTAAAAAAAATTTTTTAATTGTGTTTGGACTGTTGAATTGTGTTTTTAAGGGAGGTTATCTGTTCTGTGATTGGAATTGTATTCAGGGATAATGTTCTGTTTGTTTGCTTTTTGCTCTTTTTGAAGAGAAATTATTTGGAGTAAATCCTACCCACACTTTTTACCTCTCCTTATAATAATCTAAGGAATATTGATGGCAAGAAGGATAGAGGTGTTGAGATGAGTGCATGTTTGATTTGTTAGAGTCAGGTTAGAGTAGTCATCGTCACCTGGTTATTTGAAGATGCTATTGCCTGCATTGATTTGACTTGTATGAAGATAACTGAAAAGATGGATTCATGTCTTAATTGTTCTCTGGTGTGTGTGTATAGATATGTATATACCTGTCTAAGTGTGTGTGTGTGTGTGTGTGTGTGTGTGTGTGTGTATGTATGTATGTATGTGTGTATGTATGTATGTATGCATATGGAACTGATATAAGTGAAAAAAGCACATGCTCTGTGCTTTGAACAAGTATGGTATTCCTTTTCTCTTTTTTTTTCTGTGAGTTGAGCTCTAATTTGTGGGAGGGAAACTCTGGGGAAAAATGAATCAAAAATTTGTTGAAGACTTTTCTTTTTTGTGAATATATACATTTTAGGTTTCCTTTTTAAATTGTGCCAAAGGGAGATTTCCTCAGGAAGAACTTCTAATAGTTAATTTAATCAAGCTGTTGATTGTCCTTGATGAACAAAACAGATTCACTTGTGAAATAAGGGAATTGACCATAAGAGGAGTGTAGGGGTTTTTTTCTTATCAGGAAACTTACTTTTTCAGAGAGCTATAGTAATGGAGAAACTTGACCCTTCTTCTCACTGTGTCTTATTTAAAGGATTAAAAGTTTTGGAATCTCTGTTCCATTGTTTTTGTTTCTTATGTAAGGGCATTATAAGCTTTTTTTTTTTTTTGTATTAAGCTGTCTTGAGAATCAAAATTGATTTAAAAAATATAAGCCTCTTTCACCATGTGGTGTTGGATACAGGCACAAAAAGTCTGTTCTTTTTTATTATCACTCAACCAGCTGTGTAATCCTTCCATGCATAATCTTATGCTGTTTTTCTGCTTAGTGTTTTGTCCAGTCTCTTTCAGGTATAACAGAGGTCTTCTGTTATGGTTATGTAAAATCCCCTGTGTTGTAAGGCTATCATTTATGTAACCACCCTAACTGCTGAGCATTTGGATTCTTTCTAGATTGTTCTGGCAGACACTCAGGTTTTCGGGAACAGGGCTGATTTCAGATATTCTAGTATACCCATCAACCATGTGCTCTGATTTTTATTTTGAAAGCATGGTTTCCATAGTCATTGACATTGGTGGAGTAATAGTTTAATTATAGCATTATTTTTATTACATCCTTTCTGTGGATGAGAAAACCAAAGGAGGGTGGTTGAGAAACTTGCCAAGGTCACACATTAAGTGGTGGAGTGAAGTTTGAACTTAGACCTGCTGATTCCAGAGATTATGCTCTTAGCTGTTGGTCTGTGGCCCAGAAGAGCAGAGACAGAGGCTACTAATCCTTGAGCTACTTCACAGAAGAGTAAATGTGAGCAATACCAGGCACTGTAGGGGACAGTGGATAGGTCAGATAGAGGGAGCTGTGCAGCCACGGAGCTCTGAAAGGGTGTAGAGTATTTGTGCTTCGGAATTCTGAGGTGCTAACTGTGATTGACACATAAGATTCCTAGACTGTCTCAAGGTGTCGCTGGCAATCACAGTGCAGTTCCTAGAAGTATATCTAGTTTGTCATAGGTCTTCATTTACCACTTTGAAGAATACATAATAAGCTGGTCCATGGGATCGGCATAAGCTTGGGAGGATGTCAGGAGCACAGCCAGGGAAGCTGGAATTTAAACAAGGGTACCAGTTCCAGCTGAGTATACAGGACTCCCATATAAAAATGAGGCAGAAGTCCATGTATGTGGCATGGACAGGCTGGGAAAGTTGGGAAGGTGGGACCAGAATAAGGACATGTCTTACTTGTTGGTGGGGGTAGGGCCCCTCATAAACCTCCTACTTTGTCGTCAGGCACAGTCCAGAAACTGGGAGGACTGAGCAAGCAGTTGTAGGTTCCTGTCCATGGGGACATAAAACATTCATGTACATGTTTCTGTGTGGACATATGCTTCCATTTTGGGGGCGGATTTTTACCTGGGAGTGAAATTGCTGATCTTATGGTAACTCTACGTTGAATCATTTGAAGAGCTGTCAGACTATTTACCATAGCAGCTGGAGCATTATGTGTTCCTCTAGCAGGGTATAAGAGTCTTGATTTCTTCAGATTCTTGACAACACTTGTTATCTATTGATAGCTTTGTGATTCTACTGCCCTAGTAGTTGTGAAGTAGTATTTCATTGTGGTTTTATTGATTTACCTGATGACTAATAATGTCTAGCATCTTTTGATGTACTTATTAGCCATTTGTATATCTTCCTTGGGGAAATGTCTATTCAGATCCTTTGCCAGTTTTAGAAAATTGGTTGTCTTTTAAATTGTAAGAGTTCTTTGTATGTTCTAGATACACCTTCCTTATCAGGTATGTGATTGCAAATATTTTCTCCCTTTCTGTGGGTTGTCTATTCACATTCTTGATGGTGTGCTGTGAAGCACAAAATATTTTAATTTTGATGAAGTTCAGCCTATTTTTTGTTGTTGCTTGTGCTTTTGGTGTCATATCTAAGAATCCATTGCCAAATCCAAGTTCATGAAGATTCTCCTATGTTTTCTTCTGTTTAGTAGTTTTTGCTATTAGGTTTTCGATCCTTTTTAAGTTAATTTTTGTATGTGGTGGGAAGTAAAGGTCCAACTTCATTCTTTTGTATGTGGCTACCCAGTTGTCCTAGTACCATTTGTTGAAAAAACGATTTTTCCCCATTGGCACTCTTGTTGAAAATCAGTTGATTATAGATGTATAGATTTATTTCTGGACTCTCATTTCTATTCCGTTGGTCTTCCTTGTGCTAGTACCATACCTTTTTTTCTTTATTAAGATAAAATTGGTATATAACATTATATAAGTTTCAGGTGTACAAAATTATAATTTGATATTTGTATACACTATACAGTGATAACAATAAATCTAGTTACCATGCAGTTGATCCCCTTCACCAGTTTTGTCCACTCCCAATCCTCTTCCTCTCTGGTAACCACCAATCTGTTCTCTGTATTTATGAATTTGTTTTTGTTTTGTTGATTCTGCTTTTTAGATTCCACATGTAAGTGAAACCATACTATATTTATCATTTTCTGTCTGACTTTTTTCACTTAGTATAATATCTCTAAATCCATCCATGTTGTCACAAATGGCAAGATTTTCTTTTTTATAGCTGTGTAGTATTCCATTGTATATATACCACTCATCTTTATCCATTCATCCTTCTATGGACACTTAGGTTGTTTTCATATCTTGGCTATTGTAAATAACCTCTGCAGTGAATATTGGGGTGCATGTAGTAGTCTCCCTTTCTGCAGGGGATATGTTCCAAGACCTCCAGTGGATGCCTAAAACTGTGGATAGTACCAAACCACATATATATGTGTATATATATATATATATATATATATATATATATATATATATATAGTATACACACACACACGTATATGTGTATGTGTTTCCTATACATACATACCTATGGTAAAGTTTTATAAATTAAGCACAGTAAGAGATTAACAACAATAATAAATAGAACAATTATACCAGTATACTATAATAAAAGTTTTATGAATGTCTCTCTCAAAATATCTTATTGTACTGTATTTACCTTTTTCTTATGATGTAAGATGATAAAATGGGTACATGATGAGATGAAGTGAGATGAATGACATAGGCATTGTGATGTAGTGTTAGGCTGCTTTTGACCTGACGATATGTCACAAAGAGTATCTATCATTTACTTGCAATAAATGGCTGGTTGTCACTTGTTTCAGGAGGTGTCTTGCTAAAGTTTTGTATAGGCTTTGTGGCACAACACCTTACTGTCAGTCAACACGTTTTCTGTTTGTGTCTGCTGATTATCTTATGGGTGTTCCCTTGTACATAACAAGTTGTTTTTGTCATGCTGCTTTTTAAGATTCTATCTTTAACTTTTAACTCTGTGATTGTAATTGTAATGTGTCTTTCTATAGATCTCTTTGGCTTTGTCTTGTTTGGAGCTCTCTGGACATCTTGGATATGGATGTCTGTTTCCTTCCTCAGGTTAAGGAAGTTTTTGTATATCATTTCTTCAAATAAGCTTTCTGCATTTTTTTCCCTCTTCTCCTTCGGGGATCCCTATAATGTCATTGTTGTTCTGTTAGATGTTGTCCCATAAGTTGCTTAAGCTGTCTTCACTTATTTTTCCTTCAGATCTATTTGTGTTTGTTCCACTGCCCTATCTTCCAGGTCACTGATCCTTTCTACTGCGTTATCTAGTCTGCTGTCAAACCCCTCTAGTGTAGTGCAGCTCTG